AGACTTGCCACGGTCTCCAACCCTCCTCCTTTCTCATCCGGGCTTGGGACCGGCCATGGCGGAGTTGACTTCTATATAAGGGTGATAATATACCGGTGTTACGCTTTGTTACTCAATGCACTTCATTGTAAGTTGATAAATTTATTCATCTCTAACACATGATACAACAGCCGAAAAATAATTATTTGTTGTTGTTTTTTGTTGAGATCACCATTTGAGTCATTTGCATAAGCAGAAGGTCTCTGATTTGTGATGCTGGCTGATTCGCAGCTTTTCTCCACTTGCCCACTCACCCTCTACCTCGTTCCTCAAAGTTGCATGCTGGCCTCCTGATCGACATCTACCGTGCTTCGGCTACCACGAGAAGGCCATAAGCTGGATTTAATATTCCATGCCCAACAAGTTTGTCCAACAGGAGAAACCTTTTTATTTGATGTCCACATCTATAGAGGTCATCTGTATCTGGAATGAAATGGAATCATCCCTTACAAAGTCCTGCCATTTAGCTCTTAGTATGCTTCTAAGCGAACGGTGCACGAAACTTCTTGCTCCTTCTTATGAAAACTCTCCACATTCTGTCATCTGGTCTTGGATCGAACGTGTTGTTGATGCTTCTACGAGTACTTCCTACTATCTTCTTCACTCGCTGACGGACTCAGCACTGAATCTACAGTACGCTGTCTGAGCGAGTTGATCCGATTTGCTGCGCTGTATGTTGCCGGACTGGTCCATTCTGCTAAGGGATTTATTTCTAAGCGCACCCGCGGGTTATTTGCCATGTGGCTTCGTAGATACATTTTATTTGACGAAATAGCATTCATCCTAAGTGAACAACGTAACTGCCCTCTCAGGACATCGAGTTAACTCTCTTTATACATTTCTGCCATAAATTAGCACCATTTCACGCGTTCGCATTATGGATAATTGCAGTCATATCTCAACAGCTACTGTCTTTCCTTGGGCCGGCAATTGTAAAACATCGAAGAAGTTCACGACCCTCGTTCCATCAAAAAATCACGCTGTTCCTTCAGCCTCAGTACGTACATGACATGACGAACAGAATTCATCGTCATTAGGTAATACAAATCCTATCACGTTATGTTTCCTCTGACTGTAGCTTTGTGGTCTTACGCTGTCTATAGTTGTTCGAACGTTCTACGGCGAAGCGTCAAAATGCAACTCCATCGAGGTGCTGAAAATGCGGCGTTGCAGCGGCTTCTACTCTTTTGAAAGGACCGCTGAAAGCCAACGTGTTCTTAAATACTTTGGCTTTCACCAACTTGAAACGTGCCAACACAATCAATTGTCCTTTCGTCAGGTTGTGGCCAGAAGCAAAGCCAGTCTCTGACAGACATAGAACATTTGACGGTGGAGAATATCGAAAAGCGGCCATAGAAAAGTCGCTGCTGGCGTTAGGCAGAATAGACTTCAAACAGTATTCGGAACTGAACATGATTCACATCATTAACTTCATTTAAAAAATTTAAAAATACAGTGAAATATTGAAATGCACCCTTGACTATGAAAGAGTTTAAAATGTGCTTGATCGACTGAGTGACTTAAGCATAGCTGGAAGCGGAAAGCCAGTAGCAACAATAACTAACTGATCTTTCTTCGTGACTAACGGTAATAACTACTGCCAAATCTTGACTGCTCCGTTCGCCTGTCGCCACAAGCCACGTCCCAACTGGGCGTTTGCAACTCATGAGGTATCATTTCGCATTGATTAAAGTAACATGCGTATCCTTACCTGACCTTATGGATCGTGTGAGTCGTGCAATGTAGTCCGCCGCAGTCCGACTCGGGTTGAACAGAGTAGACTGGATACCATTGTTTTTAGTGCTTCCATTCCATTTGGTCTTGGTAAAT